GTCGTCGCTCGCACGAGATATTGACACGTGCAGCATTGCGATGTCTCTTATAAAGCGGCTCTCTCTCTCTCTCTCTCTCTCTCTCTCTCTTTCGCGGAGCTATTTATGGGTTATATATGGGTCTTTAGAAATGACGGCACTTTAGCAATGCCGTCCGTCGAGCGACGCACAATCGCGGTTTATAGGTTGCGTCGCGACCTCGCGTTTGACATTTTCAATGAGCGCGACGGTTCGCTTTCGTGTCAATCGTTGGAAAGCGACATTAACATATTCGTTTTCGCGGGATGCTCGATGCACAAACGCGGCCAATGTGCATCCGATCAGTCGAATGTCGTGTGCACAATACTCGCGTGCTATCGTTCTCTCATCCCATCGGGGGCACAAATGATGGACAGAGCGAGAGCACCGACGGAACGGCTACTGACTGGCAGCTAGCTAGATAATTCCCAAGGTCAGCCTCGAGTCGCGTGTTACGATCTTGCGAAACGCAACGATGACTAGATGAGAGATAATGCATGTTCGCATGTATCGAGAGAGTTACATACTCGGACTCGCACGGAAAAAAAAATGGAGCCACCGGAATGGAGCGCGCAAATATATTCGATAACGAGAATCCCTCCTTCGGCTTCCCTCAGCGTTTTCTCTCATCAGCGAACGAGTGTCACGATCATCATCGTCGTCGTCACATAGGGGAGCAATTTTTTCAGCAAAGTTCAACGGAAGCACGCGAGGTAACTCAGCGACTCGCGCACATTGATCTCCCCGAAGACGCTCGCGAACAAGTCGTTGTCGCGGAAAGTAACAAGCAACAGCTGCGAGCTTCTCGAATCGAAGCCGACACGAGCGTCCTCGAGAGCGAGGTCTGCTCCATCGGGCGGTATTCCGCTTGGCGGCGGTCCAACTCCGTTGGGAAACCGCCCGCGGCCGTTCTCTTTCTCGCGGATATTCTCCGCTACATGCCCGCGGCTGCATTTTTCCCTCCTTTCCGCTGCTCCGAGCGCATAAAAAGAGCCGCGTGAAGACGCGGCCGACAGACACCTCGCGAGGGACGCTCGGCCGTCGCGTCTCGGCGGGGGAACATCGTCCGCAGCCGCGATCGCCGATCGATCGCGCGCGTATCGACCGATAAGACGACGGCGAGAACAACGACGAGACGTGGCTGCCGAGAGAGGCCGAGTTGAGCGAAATTAGCACGCGCTCCGAATTCCCGCGGCAGACGTGGGCGTTTCGTAAGGAAGCCACTCCGCGGAGACGCGGCTCGATCTCGTGGTCGTTCTCGAGGGATCCCTTCGCGCATTGTTCGACGTCAGCCTTCGCGTCGGTCTCGCCGAAAGCAGACTCGCGACAGCTGACATAACGCAGGCGATCGAGAGATGGAAGAAAGCTCCCCGCGCGCGCGCGCGCGAATTCTCGCGCCGCCGATACTCCGAATTCGTCGGCGCGTGGGCGGTTTGCATCGCGCATAAACGCGCGTCGCAGGGAGCAGCGCTTACGCAACTCCCGCGCTCCCGCGTATTCCCGAATAGACCGAATAAAAGGCTCTCGCTGGATCACGGCCGTCGTGTATTTTTAGAACGTTGACGAGCCGGATCCGCGCGCGCGCGCGCGCGCCGCCTGCGCCGAGCGTTCTCGGCGAGAGACGCCGGCTGTTGCTGCGAAGGGATGAGGCCCCGAAAAAGGAACGGCCCATCGCGGGCGAAATTCCATTGTCCGTTCACGACGGCTGGCCGAGGTAGGACGGCGATCGAGCGCGAGAAAGACGGCGAGTCCGCATCTGCGGGATTTGGAATTCCTCGCGGAATTCGCCGCAAGCGAGGGAGATGCGTTTCTCCTGTACGGTTCCTTGAACTGTTGACGTTGCGGTCGCAGGACGAGTACTCGCAGGATTTTGCAGTGGTGCGTGGCGCTTCGTTGAGAACGAGAGAGAGAGAGAGAGAGAGAGAGAGAGAGAAAGCGAAATGTCGCGAGGAACATCCCGACGCAATTCGGCAGACGAAACTCGACGCGGTGGAATTGCGCAAACATCGTTACGCGGAGTAAACGGAGGCAGATATTTTTATTTGCTCCCGCTCTGTTATCACCTCCTTTCTCCGCGCGAAACTGGTCTTTAATGCATTCACGCCGGGCGGCGTCTTGCGATTTAATACACCGCCGCGCGATATATTCCGTCATTAACGAGCGGTTAACAAGCTCCAACGTGCAGCAGACGTTGACGCAAGCGTGAGAGATATTTTGGCGCGGGTTTATTTTCAATTGCGGCTATTATTAGGCACTTTATGCCGCGCCTCCCGCGGAGTTGGGAATAGACGAGATCGGATCGTCGTTCGAAAACTTCGGCGACGATCGGTTGACGAACGCGAGCGCGACGCGTGCCCTGAAGAGGAAGACGAAAATCCGCGAGGGCGGGGGGGGGGAAGAGGAACGGGATTCACGACGGCCGACGTCGCGCGCGATTCATTATTATTCGCGGCGCGCGGCGTATTCCCTCTTCCCTCCCCCCACCCCCTCCCGCCGAATCTTTCGCGAACGATGATTAATGAGGCGCGGATCGCGACATGACGTTCGCTCGCTCGGGGGAAAAGAAAGTACGGCACGGCACGGCACGGCACGGCGACGCGGAGGAACGAGCGATGTCCTGTTCGATTTGAAATTCATCGCGCGTGATGTATCGGCCGACGACTGAGGGGAATCAATTAACGTCATGTGCTCCAAGGAGTAACAATCGACGAAGCGCGCCGCGCTGAATGACGCGGCTGTCGACTTTCACTGCGGCGGAAAAGAATCCGGAGAAACGGCCGATAAATTTGCGGACTGTGACGAGCCAAATTTGGGAAGCCGATGACTGCGCGATGGTATCCAATGCGAACGCGCAACGACGTCTCTTGAACTTTCGTCTCCGAGGCTGAACAAGACTCGGTGAATGGACTCGTAGAGCTCGTTGGACACAAAAGAAGCGTGTACACGTTTTGATCGCGTAGGAAGAGTTTCTGCCAGACTTTTTCCAACTTAAGAAACGTTACCGGAAGGCCCGAATCCTCCGAGTCACTCGTTCTTTTCACTGTGTGTGTGAGTAGCTACCAAGATACATCCCTTTAAAGCGTTGCAGCGTTTTACCCGTCATTATGCCGCGAGTTGTCACCGTTCCAAACATACCGTTCGTGTTGTTCTTCTTTGTCTGTACGAAAGGTTAGTTTCTTCCTGAGAATATTCCTCGAAGCTTTCACCTTACTAGAGATTGATGGGTCGTGTAGTGAAACTTGCAAGCGGCTATTTGAACAAGTCATTCAAGCTCCAGAGAGAGAGAGAGAGAGAGAGAGAGAGAGAGAGAGAGAGAGAGAGAGAGAGAGAGAGAGAGAGAGAGAGAGAGAGAGAGAGCCTTGCGTAGGGATGTTGCTAATCTTTTTGGGAACCGACACATGTGTGTAACCCTTCCTATATCATTATTCACACAGCACGACGTTCGTTTGGCGTTCACGCTCCGAACGGGAAATTCTACAAAATCTCGAAAAGCATCGGTATTGTTTCCGAGTCGGCAGCCGCCGTAGGCGACGTGGCTCACTCGCTGCGCGCCGACACAATAGTGCACCTTCCGTGCGTAACCCATTGTCCCAGTTCAGTAACCCCGATAATAAATGCAGCTTGTAAAGAGCGGGAGGCTTGTAAAAAAGTTGACCTTCGCAGGGGATATATCTCTTTGGACTTTCACCCGTAGGGTTTCTCGCACTCTGGAAAAAGATTTTTTTACTCTTAACCTTTTTTTATTCTTAACATTTTCGCTCATTTTCCCGGATGGAAAAAGAGAAAGAACTCCATATTAGTATTAACTGAATTTCTCGAGCTGACCGGAGATGAATTATCGCAACGGAATTTCCTCGAAGAGAAATGTGCAGACGGTAACATTCGGAGATATTTCACGTTACCGAAGTTTCGTCGGAGTCCTTCTCGCGCGATATATCCTGCTGATTGGAAGAGTACTCGCTCGAGAATATCCGAGTACTTTCGACACAGATTCAGATCGCAGGCGGTGATGTGAATGAATCGGGATGTGTGACGGACCGAGTAATCCCTAGCCGAGTAACCCCGATTAGTCGTTGTCAAGCCAGCTTACGACTGAGATAGCCCACCACCAGGTGCGACAGATCGCTCGCTCTGTTATCCGCGCCGGCGAGACGCTAATTACCGTGCCGATCACGGCCGCGACAACGCGCGGTAAAGCGCGGTCGATTGAATTCCAGATCGTTCATCGCGGGGGAATTAGCATTCGCCTTCTCTCGCCTTTCGCTCGTTAACGTTCTGCATTAACAGACGTAGCGAGGGGGAGAGAGAGAGAGAAGAGACCGACGGATAGGAAGAAAGAGCGAGATCCGCGAGACGATACGACGTCGCTCGGGACTTTCGTTTTTCCAGCGCTCTCGATCGCGCACGCGGCGAGTCGGCCGATCGCCGACGGTGAAGGAGGAAATTAACGACAACGATCCGCGCGGTGATGCGCGGATAATCGATCCTAATGAGGTCTCGGAGATAGCCGAGACCGCGCGTTCCACGCGCGGCGATTCCCGGCTACCGCAAAGCAGTCCTCGCGAACGTCGTCGTATCTCCCGCGAGTCACGAAAAGTCAAGCTCGCGCGAATTGAATTGCAAATAACGCCCACCACTCGGACGAGGCACCACGTCGAGGCGTGATACGACTGCAGTGCGAAGTCCGTTCGTTTATTCCGAGTCGCTCCGCGAGTCTAATATCGCAAGTCGACGGGAAAGTTTCCGCGGCAGGGCAAAGAACGCGGCTGCTCTCAGCCGAAATTGTTATCTCCGCGGCGCGAAGCCGCTATCGGGAACCCCGTGGACCTCTTGACCGCGGCCGGCGGCCGCTTCAAGGTCGCCCGACGACCCTGAAACTGGCCGTGTTTACCTACCTACCTACCCCCTCGTCCCCACGGACCATGCAATCGCGATATCGTCATCGGATCATGCGCGCGCGCGCGCGCGCGCGTTATACTGACCCGCTTCAGTTGATTGTTCGTGATATTCTGCAGTTCGTTCTTTATCAGACTGAACTTCATCATGGTGTCGCTGGAGAAGATGGAGCAGCCGAAGGCGAGCCCGGGGTAATCGGCGCATCTCTTCCGTCTGCGAGCTTCTCGCTCTGCCTGGACCTCGGCACGCTCGCTGGGACACCGTAACTTGGCCAACTCTTCTAGTTCGGGGTCCTCCTCGACGTTGGCGGACTCGTCGTCGGAGTTCCCGTCGCCGCGAGCCCTCGCGACCGCGTGCTCAGGCTCGGGCGAGGTGTCCTTCCTCGACGGGCTATCGGGAGCGTCTCTCTGTCTCTGGGGACTCCTCTCGCTCGGACTCTTCGTCTTCGTCTCGACGCGCTCGACGTCTTTACCCTCGCCGGCCGCAGGAAGCACGTCCGGGCTACACTGCGCGAGCCTCTGCTGGACGTTCTTCTTGTTCTCTTTCTCACCGTCGTCGTCTCGCCCGACGACGTGGACTCTCGAGTCTTTGGTCTCGACGACGGCGTCGTCGATGCTCCTCGTTACCTCGGCGGCACATGGCCTCACGATACCCCGGACAGCGCCGAGGACGGGCCGCGGTAAGGGCGCGCGGGTGACCGCCGTGAGGTAGGTGCCGGTAATAACCGTGCAGGGAGCTTCGGTCACCCTGGCGAGGGAAGACGTCTTCTCAGCGGCAGCGTCGCCGGTGACCCCGGCAACGCTGCTGCTGTCCTTGTCGGTGCAACCAGCAGGGCCACACTGCGCGGGTCCTCTGCTGGAGGCGTCGAGACGTCGGCGCGTGGTGTGTCGCGGGTGATGCTGGTGCCCGCGACGTTTCGTCGTGACCGCGAGCGGCCGGTCCATGTTGTGTCCCCAGCTGTTGTCACTGTGTCTATCTCTCTCTCTCTCTCTCTCTCTCTCTCTCTCTCTCCCGCCCGCTCGCTCGCTCGCTCGTCGTCGACCTAACCTCCGACGCACGTCGTCCGATGCAGCCCGTGCGATACGCACCGCTCTACTACTATCACTGCACCAGGTACTCCGCCATCTTGTCTGTCACCGATCATAGAGCACGTTTCTCTCTCTCTCTCTCTCCCCGCGCGTCGCACGCGAATGTCGTACACAGTGTACCGGTTCTCTCTCTGGTACCGTCACGCACACGATGCGCGCTGTGCGCCTGTGTGTTGGTGTAGCGAGATACTGCCTGCGTGCACTGCGGCTGCCTGTCCGTTCGTCTGTCTCGCTCGCTCGCTCGCTCGCTCGCTCGAGCGGACGCCGCGCTGGAGCATCGTCCCCCTCCACGCGGCGCACGGTTAGCCAACGCGAGCGGAGAGGGGGAAAAAGCCGAAGATTCCCGAACGACGACGCGGAAGCGACGAGCACCGCCGACGAACTGCTCGCGCGGAGGTGAAGTGGAGGCGCGCGCGCGCTTGAGTCGCGAAGGTCGCGCTTGCGCGAGCGAGTGGCGCCATCTGTCGGCCGGCACGTCGTCGCGACGCGCGCTGTCGGTAATCTGAGCCGCCATTGAGGCGGCGTTCTCGCGCCCAGAAGATCAAGAGGTCCCCGGTGTAACGCTCGTTTGCGTTTGGTATGCGGCTGTTTCGGCTGTCCGAGATGCTTGCCGACGTGCAGATCAGATTCGCCGGGCGGTAAGTATATCGCGACAAAGTTTGCAAAGTACTTTGGAAGAAAGACAGAGCTTCGAGCCGCGCGTTACCGGTCATGTCGTGTTTCTTCGTGCGTTTCCGTTACACGAACGAACATGGAAGACGAGAACGCGTCTGTCGGCGGTTTGAACGGATCTGCCGAACTTGATCGATTTATCGGGGGGTACTCGTTGTATCTTTGGTCCTGCGAAAGCGAGCGACCAATTCCTGATCGTGGATAGTCTATTTCGCGAGGTAAGAACGCTCGAACGCGAGAAGGTTAGGCGACGAGAAATTGGCGGTTTTAATGGCGTCGGCTTCGCCGAAGGCGTTTCGTTTCTCGATTTTTAACGTGCTCATTGAATCAATAGTCCGACGAAGGCGGCTAAAGTCTTGCTTGCGAAAGGTCTACTTCGGCAAGTGGGAACGTTGGAATGCAAATATTTGCGCCTCGACGTCGAGATCGGCAGTTTCGAACACTCGGCGAATAAAATTCGTTTGCCACTTGACCGCGTTGTAAGCAGCGATACCTCTCTATCGCTATCTGCTAAAAGTAATGCACGTTTCACTTACATTCTGCAGAGCCTTGTCCTTCTCCTCCAGTTTCGCGTTGACCTGCATGAGGGCTTCCTGAGTTTGGTCAAGCTCGTTCTCGATGGTCTGGATCTTCTTCTGCAGGGCGCGAGCCTCTTCCTCAGCCTGCGTAAGTCACAGTATATATTTCATCACATTTCCAAATACTCGTATACTTAGAAGGTAATTACCAACAACACATTGCATCAATTGTTTTTACATTATCGCGTTATCATCGAATATTTGTGCATCTTTTCGCATCGCGTTTCTCACGAGTCACGAATCCGAATCTCACAGCGAAACTCGATAAAACATACGACTCCTTTCGCGAATCTTTTCTTATATGGTACTACTCGCCTTTTCAGCTCGCGCGTTCGCGTCGCGAGCTTGCTGTTCGCAGAGCAACGCGCGATCCATCGCGTTGTCCTTCTCCAGCTTCATTCCCTGCATCTTCTTCTTGATCGCGTCCATGGTGGCGTTTGTATCTCCTCACTCGTCCACTAGAAGGAAATCTACGGCAGCAAACGAGAGAGCACACGATTAACCACGCTGAGCTTCGGAAAGTCGTCGACGCGGCTGTCGCGAGAATCGCGCGACTTTTCGCTAATAGGGTTAACGAAATAGAATAGAATAGAATAGAATAGAATAGAATAGAATAGAATGCCAGATAGAATCCAGCGTTGGAAACGCAATAGAATGCTGCGGCGTTTCTCAACGACGCGAGTATGCCCATCGATCGCGAGTGAGACGCGAGAATCGATAACGCGTGGTACTTCCTGGCGATAAGGCGGCCGTCAGTTGCGTCACGCTACGCACGGTAACGCGAGAGAAACAATATGATATTTTGTTATTGAGTGATAACAAACTACAATCCGGCGACGATCACGGATGATGATTCATCGCCGAGAAAAGCAGAGCTCACGCGTCGGGATCAAGTTCACCGAATGGTGCGAAGCCGTTCGTACAATTAACGTCACAGATTTCTTCCTCCCCGTTCGTCTTTCATCGCTCCTTCATGCTCCCAACCGAATCCCGACGCGATCAGCAATTAATCATGCTCCGTTCTTTTCTTCCGTAGCCGACGATTTTCCACGCTGGAACATGCGGCAACAACCTCCTCCTCCGCGCCTTCTTCTGCTCGCAACAATATCGACCTACCTGCGGATGCGTCGCGATCGTTCGCGCGATCGCGCCGGTTCGTTGCGTTATCCTTACTCATTATACGACGTCGCTTCAAGGACGAGGAGCAAAGGAGCGAGGGAAGAAGCGCACGCACGTATCCGCGGAAGTAAGACGGCCGGTGTTCTCGAAAATGGAGAAAATTTTCAGGTTGCTCTCTCTCTCTCTCTCTCTCTCTCTCTCTCTCTCTCTCTCTCTCTCTCTCTCTCTCTCTCTCTCTCTTTCTCTCTCTCGATTCTAGCCCGTCCGTCGAATTCGCCACTCGGGCGGTGCACAGGTGTATAATTAGCGTGCGGCCGGATATCCTATTTATAGAGCCGGGCTTCTCGCTGAGGAAGGCCCGGGCCATGAACGCGCGATATCACAAACGTTTGCTCTCCGCCGGTCTCGTGACGTCACGGCGCGCAGGTATGCGACGTTCGTGCACGGGGAGCAAAAATCCCCCGCGAGACTGCATCCGCGGTTGATACGGCCGTTCTCGGCCGACCGGCTGAGAAACGGCGTTCCTACGATCGAAAGGACGAAGACGCGCCAGGGACGCGCGCGCGCTCCTCGCGACGAGGTCGTTTCGCGAGCAGCCGCGACTACAACTTTGGACTGCGAATTCTCTCGCGCGGAGAATCGTCGCGAGTCGAGGAATTCCTGCGTGAGAAACTGGCGCGAAGCGGCCAGGGAGCATTGTTGACGCACATGTGCGAGCGCAAACGGTGCGAGTGAAATTCCTGACGAAGGAACCGCGAACGTTTCTGTCGCAGGTCTCTCGCGGAAGTCTCGTGCCTGCGCCACTGCGACTGCGACTGCACGGGGAAGCTGCATCGCCGCCTAGCCTCTACCTGAGCGAATATGCGCGCGCGATTCCGATGCCAGCTCGCTGGCTGGTAATCAGAGATGCCGGGTAAGCAGGGAACGAAAGCGAAATGGAGCTCGCGGCGATGCTCGGAGGAGCAGCGACGTAGGAGCTGGAGCTGCAAGATTCTGCGAAGACGAATGAGGTATGCGGCGGGATTATAGGTTTCGCAAATATTTTCCGACGTGGAGCTGCCGAGAGGAAGAAATTCGACGAGATGATGCTCGTCGTCTCGACGAGTTGAACGAGCAAGAGAGAGAGAGAGGGAGGGGGAGAGAGAGAGAGAGAGAGAGAGAGAGAGAGAGAGAGAGAGAGATTCCTCTCCGGGGCCTCCTCATCGCCGACAGGACATTCCGCGAATGAAAGTTGCGCGATGGCCGCGATTAATAATGATTAATGAGAACACGAAGAAAAGTGCTCGCGTGTAAGTCGGAAACGAAATCCGGAGGAGGCGGGGGGGGGGGGAGGGGGCGGGGAGCTCGGTGAAATTTGATTTGTCGACACGGCTGTTTCCCGCGACCAAAAACGCGTGTATCGCGACCGACGGTTATTTTTACACGTTCAGAGAGTTGGAGAGAGGGCGGCAAGATTCGTGGCCGCCTGCTGCCTGGCCGAGCCATTTCGGGTTACGCATAGCGGGCATCGCTGATTCCTAAACGCACCAGCCGAGTGACTTAACTCGGCGGGTATCTTGTTACGCCTGGAGGAAGAAGTGATCGCGCGTGTGTCGCGCCGCGTTCGTTATTTTTTTTCAAACTGCCATCGACAGTGTTTACTTTCGCGCTCCGCGAAACGGCCACAGGCGAGCGGAGGAAGAAGACCAAGATGGGATTATCTCGCGTCGTCTTCTCTCTTCTCGCTCTGTCGCGGCGATATTTCTATAGAGAACAATTACCCCTCTCCCTCGGCGCTTCATTCCCAGTGATCCCACAATACGCGTTCTTTTCTTCTTTTTCTTTTCGCGAAACACCGCGCTCTGCGCTTTGAGTCGTCGGTGAACGTCGGCGCCCGTTCTCGAGCGGACGAAACGTGCTCGGCTCGGCGACTTGCGAGAGAATGCGCGGAAGAAATTCGCCTCCCTGTGCCATAAAGACGCGAGATAGCAGGCTCGAACAATGTTGTCGCGGTGGTTACGCGCGGACGCGAAAAAAGATCCTTATGAGTCACTGCATTCCGGAAGGTATCGGCGCTCGCTTCACGCCGCCGCCGCCGCCGCCGCCGCCGCCGCCGCCGGCTCGTCATCGTCATCGTGTGTGTGCGCGCGCGCGCGCGATTGCTTCTGCGAAATTTTTTCGTCCGTTTTTAGCAATTATCTCCGTCGTCGTTCGGAGAATGACAAGCGCGAGTCGTAATAGATCGCGGCACTTTGGCAATCTCCATTCTCGATACTTTTCTCCCTCGCTCCAGCAGAGCGCGATAAAATACATATTAAAATGCCGCGGTTGCGACAACAATTTCTCCGCCAAACGAGCGGCCTCCTTTTATCGCGTTTTTTTGCACTCCATATCGCTCGCCTATATTCGATAATCGCACGCCGGCGATCTCGTTACGCGGCGAGTCTAAAATAAGAACGAAGGTAATCCTACGCGCGAGCGTCCGAGCGACAATTGAGTTACTTCACTTTTTGTCCATAGACACACGTCACTGATTGCTCCTTGATGATTAAGTCGTCCTACCAGATGACGGCGATCATCTGTCCATCGCGCGATCCATCTTAACGAGGTATACGTCGTTGTGGGCGACGTACCGTTGGAAGAAAAATTATTCCTCCACGAAGGAATATTTCCGCGACTTTCGAACTTTCTTGTCTATTTGTTTCTTACTCCTTCTGACACGTTACCGTCTCGACATCAAGCTGGCAATTTTCGATCTATTTTAGAATCAGTCTCAGGCGCTCTCGAGCTTGGAGCTGCTGCTCCAGATACCGTTGGTTACACCGGTTGGTTCGCCTGGTGCGCGACTATTTTTACGTGAAAACAGTTTTAGAAACTCCGATCGGTCGCGACCGGCTCGAGGTCGATCTC